TTGAGATCTTATTATAACGATTAGTCAAGAACTATGTTGGAACATTTAAAAAGTGCAAAATCTAATAGCTAAATTCTCTTCACACATTAGTCCAGGAGATGCAGATCAAGCATCTTTGTGAGAATTCACAAAGATTTAATTCTTCAGCCCCTCCTTACTGATCATGCTGCAGCACGTTGGCCTGGTTTGCACACCATACTAAGCCAAACTATGTTTCCTGCTTCTTTGCTGCGCCTTGCTGTTAGTGAGGAAAGAAATTTTCAATGAATCCAGGATTCTAAACAAAATCTTGGCTTAGCTGAACAACACGGGGAGGAGCAAAGCCTGGTCAGGCCATGTTTGCCTGATAATAATAAACAAATAATAATAAATTTTATTTGTACCCCACCCTCCCCAGCCACAGCCAGGCTGAGAGCGGTTAACATCATATAAATAACACAGTATGCATAAAAACAGGCATCAATTAAATAAAATACATCTTAAAATTAATTCAGAGACAAATGGCAGTTATCAGGTTAAGACTGAGAGCGGTTAATACTTGCCAGGAGGAACTGTTTTCACTGATCATATAAGGACCTGTGAACAGGCTGGGAGGCTTCCTTCATGTTTGTTCTTATACAAAGGAAAAAAGTATGACTGCCCCCTGGCCAAAGGCCTGGCGGAACAGCTCCGTCTTGCAGGCCCTGAGGAAAGATATCAAATCCCTCAAGGCCCTAGTCTCTTGTGAGAGAGCGTTCCACCAGGCCGGGGCCACGGCCAAAAAGGCCCTGGCTCTGGTCGAGGCCAGTCTAATTTCCCAAGAACCCGGGGGCTTTAAAGTGTTGTTGTTTGCAGACCGTAAGGTCTTCCGTGGAGTATACTAGGAGAGGTGGTCCCGTAGGTACGAGGGTCCTAGGCCATACAGGGCTTTAAAGGTTAAAACCAGCACCAGTATAAAGGTTAAAACCAGTATAATGCAGTGTGCACCCGGCCAGTGTCTCTTTACCTCCTGCAGCAGTTCAGATTTTGATGGATGCCAAAATACAGTGAACCTCAACATCGCCACAAGTGGAATATATGTTAAAGCATTCAAAAGACTAGTCGATACCACTCACAAAAGTTAGTGCAGAGCCACTTCAGCCCATAACAATGGCTATATGAAGCAACTTCCTAAGTGGCTTCCTTTTCTTCTCATAGCCCCAAAGAGCTTCTAAGAAGGAAGGTGCAATCCAGTGGGTGCTGTTGCATCACTTTGTGACATGCAACGATCAATTTCTAGGAGTTTGCACAAGGTTTCCATGGAAATGAATGGAGTTTGCATACCAAGGATGGGGACTTCCTGGCCTTCCAGATGTTGTTGGAATCCAATTCCTATTAGCCCCAGCCAGGCTGACCAGTGATCAGGGTTGATGAGAGTTGGAGTCCATCTACAGCAGGCTTCCTCAACCTCGGCCCTCCAGATGTTTTGAGACTACAATTCCCATCATCCCTGACCACTGGTCCTGCTAGCTAGGGATCATGGGAGTTGTAGGCCAAAAACATCTGGAGGGCCGAGTTTGAGGAAGCTTGATCTACGGGCTCCCCACTCCTGTTGTGTAGGCACAGTAGCAGAGCCTGCAAGACTGTGCCCTCAGCTTCCAGCCCTAGTGTGTATCTCGCAGCTTGTTTCTCTCCCTTTCCTTCTTTATACATCAAGTTCTGACAATTGCAAGTGGAAGCTTTCCAGGATAAATAACTTTATCTTGACAAAACCCCTGGTGGCACCCCATGGCAATTCATTATTTTTCAATTAAATTTACCATTTGCTGGCAGCTGCCCTGTTTTAATTTTCTGCTGTTTGTTTACCGAACAAGGAAACACATAACATAAAGCTCTATAAAAGTCAGATTGAGTTAATTAAATGAGGTACTGGGAAGCCCTAACTCAACCTCAAGAGGACGTCGATCACTGGATCTCCTGAAAAATGTATCTTTTCTGGGGATTTATTCTTCACATTTGCTGTGCCGTAATTAATTTGGAGTATTGCCCTCCCTTTTCCTCAATGCTGCTTGTCTCACATACAGCCTATCTACAGGAGTTTATATAAGAGGATTCTTTTAAAAAAGAAGACAGGCCTCAAAGCTATATAGGGGAAAAATGGGATTGTGTAATAAACAAAGGTGAAGAAAACTCGTGGTTTGTGGTAGAGCACTTGCTTTGAAATGCATGGGCAAGGCGCTAGATGCTTTCCAGTTAAAAGGATCTCAAATAAGCAGAGGCCCTCTGCCAGAGACCCGGAGAACTGCTATCAATCAGAGTGGGCAATACTAGATGTAATGGCTATTGGTTTGACTCAAGCCCAAACTGAATACAGCACCATGCACACCATTCACAATTGCAGCACCTTTGACATGGCAGGGATGGTGGCCCAAGGTGTTGTACATAGTGCTGGTAGCAAAGCTAGTGCAGTGTAACAGAGTCTTTTGGGGCAGACACCTTGATTCTGGAGTAAAAGTATATTTTCTTAAATATCAGCCATCCCACCTTTTAATATGTTGTTGCACTGGGAGGAATTATTTGCGGGTGGGCTGTTGTTGCTTTGTTGTTAATATGAAACACTCAGTATAACATTAATGATTTAAAAACAAACAAACCAGTTGCACAAATAGTATTTTTTTAAAAATGAATTTCAAGCATGGTGGAGAGGAGCTTGGGGGAGCTTTAAACTTTTGGTTTCCAGTGCAGTCCCAGAGCAGAATGGGGACCCTCCTGCCTTCAATTTACTCTTGAAAAGCCATGCACAATGGCTAATTGCATCAATGGCAATCCATCATGATTCTCAGGATAAGGCAACTTCATATGATTCTTCTCATGAGATAATAAGCTGTCCCAACACCATCCAGGTCAGCTGCAGTGACGCTGATACTTGGGAGAGCAGCTGCAGTGTTGACCAACCCCACCAGCCATGACCACTTACTGCTGCATGGTTCTTGAAGTTACCATAAAGCCAAATTACTAAAGTAATTGTAAAGCCAAATCCATACAATATATGTTCTTCTCCAGAAAGTGGGGAGGGGGGTGTCTCAACAAGCGCTCACTTTCTCATTAATATTGTAGAACAGAGATGGATAAATTGTGGACTTGGTTTCAGAACTGAACCACCAAACTTTGATTCAATTCAAGAGGAGAGTCCCTGAGTATACAGTGGTACCTCAGGTTACATATGCTTCAGGTTACAGACTCTACTAACTCAGAAATAGTACCTCGGGTTAAGAACTTGCTTCAAGATGAGAACAGAAATCATGCTCCAGCAGTGCAGCAGCAGCAGGAGGCCCCATTAGCTAAAGTGGTGCTTCAGGTTAAGAACAGTTTCAGGTTAAGAATGGACCTCCGGAACGAATTAAGTACTTAACCTGAGGTACCACTGTATAAGGGAGGCAGCCAGGTTCCTCTTAAATCCTTTCAGTCGTTAAAAACATATATCATTGCCTGCCAATATTCTAAGTGATATAAGAGTTCCAACTAAACAGTGATGCTGAGGGTCACCCTTATCTTGAGTACTTTCTAGTAGTGAGCAGCTGTAGAGCCACTGATTTTTAAAATTGCATGTATATGCCTTCAGCAGAACCCATAGGATATGCAGGCATTCAGCCCTCCACCCTTCATGGATTGTCTACACCAGGCATGGCCAAACTTGGCACTCCAGCTGTTTTGGGACTACAGTTCCCATCATCCCTGACCACTGGTCCTGTTAGCTAGGGATGATGGGAGTTGCAGTCCCAAGTTTGGCCATGCCTGGTCTAGACCTAGATCAGGCCATGCCCCTGAAAACAGGATTTGTCATCATTTCAGATCCTCTCTGGTCTTTCTCCTGGACCACTTCTCTAGAATCTTGCATAGTTGCCTTTACTGTATAGGGCTTTACAAATGAGCACATGACATATAACATGGACTCTAAAGCACAATACCCAACTTTATGATTGTGCGATGTTTTAGAGTTTAGAACATAATACAATGCTGACACAATGGGTCACGACTTCAGTAGTGTTGGGGCTGCTTGTGCTAGATGTGACATCATGCTTCTTCCTGTTCCTCACACAGGAACAGAGGAGAAGCGCAACTGCAATAAGAACCATATGCACCCAGATATTAGTCTGCCCCATCTTACGATTCTGGTGCAGTTCAGCTGGTGTATCCAGATAAGAGGCTGCCAACAAAGAAGCCGAACATGTGAGAGCAATTTGCCCGTGTATTATTTCATGTGGTCAGCTTCGCATTTAAACCAGACTCTCAGCTGTTTATGCATGCAGCATGAGCATGTCAGTGTGGCACTTGTCCAGGACGCAGAACCCTGGTGAGCTGATTTGGTCTGAACAAGGCACCAGCTGTGTGGAATGCCAGATCGGTAAGTTTGGTTTTGTATGTGCCTGGTGTCATTTTTCAGTTGGGCTAACACTACACAATTAGACAAGCAGACCCTATTTCCATGCAAGTCAGGGGCTGACATGGGATGGAACACACACACATACCAAAACACACATACCATGCACCAAGATGGCGTCGTTAGTGGTAGCTCTATTTTGTGCTCCGCGTTGATATATAGATTTATTAGTATTTATCAGCACTTTTAAAGCTTTTTTTTTTTTCTCCTCTCTTTTAACCGAGCTTAGCAGTTTTAAATTATCACTCTTTTTTATTAACTGCCAAAGGCCTATTTTTATCCAAACTGCCAAAGGCCTATTTTTATCCAAAGGAGGCTCAGCAAGCCGCCCTATCTTCACGAAGCTGGTAATTAGCAGACGGGGGAGGCCAGCTACTCCTTTGGAAGGACGCCGAGCTTTTTATCTATAAAAAAAAGGAAGGAATTGAAGCTGCTATAACCCCAAGAAACACAAGGCAAGTTCAACCCGATAATTATTACAAGGGACTTTTGGGTTTTCTGCAAATCAACCAGACCTTTGAGGAGCTGCGCCTTGTTACTCAGGAACTGAGAACCAGCTGAAGAGGCTTCAGCAGACGCAGGAGTACTTCATCATCCAGATACCAAGAAAGCCATCGCGTACAAGGTGTGTGTATGTGGTAGAAGGAGGCAAGTAGTAAGTCACTCTGCAAAGCTGAAGGGAGGGCTGTAATGTGCTCTACATGCAGAATGTCCCAGATTCAATCCTGGCATCTCAAGATATTGTTCTGAAACAAAGGAGAACCACCAACAGTATATGAGGGTGGCCAGTCTGAGCTTAGACGGACCAACAGTCTGACTTGGGATCTTCTTCTTCTTTGACAATCACTCGTAGCTTAGTAAGATTGTCTTCCATGAACACGGTTTTAACAGTGAGTCTGTAAGGGACTGTGGAGGCCAATTCTGGATCCACACGTCCTTCCACAATGGGGACATAGGTTTCCGGGTGGGAGTTGATCATGGTGAGGGTTGCCAATCGTGCTTCCTCTTAGTGCATTTCTCCCTTTCGTCCTGAGTTCAAGCATTGCAAAACCCATGATACCTTTGGTAAAGGCTGTTCTCCAGGTTGGAGCGCTCGCAGGCCAGTGTTTCACTGTTGTCTTGGTTTATACTACATTTGTTTAAGATTTGGCCTTGAGAGAGTCTTTGAACTCTTTTTGTTGTCCACCAGCAAATTACGCTTTCCATTTTTAAGGTTCGGAATAGAGTTGTTGCTGCTTTGGAAGACAATAATTAGGCATCTGCGCAACATGACCCCATGTCCCTAGCCTTATCTGTTGAAGCATAGAGCGATAAGCAGCTGAGGAGACAGGCCTGGCAGGTGGGGATGATGAGGGAGACCCAGGAGGGAGCCTAATACTCTCTCCTTTCCCTTCCCAGCCCAGTTTGCTCAGCTAGCCCAGCTCAACCCCCAGGAGCGCATGGCCCGCGAGTCTACTTTGCAGCAGAGGAAGGTATCGCTGGAAGCTTGGCTGACCCGCGAGGCACAGACACTGCAGCAGTATCGTGTGGTGAGCTCTACCATCTCCAGCCCTGGCCAGACTTCCTTCTGTATACACCGGTGTTGCGGCTAGGCAACTCCTCTATGCATGTCTCCTCTTCTTCCTTCACAGGAGCTGGCTGAAAAGCACCAGCAGACGCTTTCACTGCTCCGCAAGCAACAAACCATTATCTTGGACGACGAGCTGATTCAGTGGAAGAGGCGGCAACAGTTAGCGGGGAATGGCGGGCCCCCTGAGGGCCCTTTGGATGGCTTGCAGGCTTGGTAGGTGATGGGTGAGGAGGGAACCAGGGGGGTGGTGAGAGGGGGAACGGGGCTTCCCAACTAGTTCCGCACTTAACGAATGGTGATGGGGGAAGGCTTAGTGTAAGGTGCACGCTTTTTAAGTGTTAGGGGTCCAGTCTTAGGAATGCAAGGTAAAAACTGAGAAGAGAGCTTCTTTGAGCTGTGTGCAGAGGGCACTGAGTTACAGTAGAGAAGGCTGTGAGAAGTCTGCACCAGAATAAATCAAAACTCAGTCCCAAGGTACCGGTAATACAAATTATTTAACATTGAAAGCTGAAATATGCAAATTTTAAGTAAGACAAGGCAAAGTGCTATGCTGCCCCCCAACCTTTGCCATCCCTCTGGCATCTTGAGAGTTACCTGACACATGTTTCGAGAAAATCTTCAAAGCCACAAGGGCTGGAAACATACTTTTGAAAAATAAGAAAGGAAAGCTTGAGATGTTTCGCAATTTATATGCTGTAGCTTTTCTGTGCTTCTGCAGAATTGCTTCATATACACAGCCCTGATCAGAGCCTGAATATGTGCAGCTCTGAGATAAGGGTGGGAGGCTTACAGGTTACATCAGATGGAGTGATTTCAGGCAGAGCAGAACTACTGCATGAGCTATTTAGCAAACCAAGAACTGGATCTAGGGTGAAGGGCATGGCCGATTCTGGAAATGTACGTAGGCAGGCATTGGACTAACTCTCTTTTCCCTTGTGAGGCTTTCCCCTCAGTAAGTTGCCCCCTCCTAATGCCACAGTGGAGGAATTTCAAGGAAGGAGGTGGAATATGTAATCCCTTCCCAAGTGGCTCTCTACATACATCAAGCAGATTGCAGCATTAATCATTTAAAAACAAAAAACAGCAGCAGCAACAACAGTGTTGCAGCACTGGCAGCAGCAACAAAATGCTGCCAGCTGCGCCGCTCTAGATGCTGAATCCGTAACAGCTCTGACCAGGGACTGAACTTTCACATCCTGATAGTGACTAGAGCTACTGCTTACATTGCAAACAAAGCACTTTTTTCAGCTGAACTTGGGAGCTGCTAAATGCAGCCCCTTACTCCCCAAATATTTCTTGGAGAATTCTGCAAGATTACAACTTCTTCCCCGCTTTGTGTTCAGCATATGTATGAGACAGCAGGTTGAGATCATCTGGAGACATGTTGGTGCTGTTCATGTGCTAATGACATTCATCTTTGTCCTGTGGCATCCTGCACTCTCAGTTTCAGCTTAAATGTATTGTTGATACAGCAGTTAGCCTTTACAAGGCCACACAACAACCAAAATCGGAGTCGTGTCATATCAAATAAACACCACAATTAAAATTGCATACAGTTAATAAGTTAGGGACGCGGGTGGCGCTGTGGGTAAAACCTCAGCGCCTAGGACTTGCCGATCGTCAGGGTCAGCGGTTCGAATCCCCGTGGCGGGGTGCGCTCCCGCTGCTCGGTCCCAGCGCCTGCCAACCTAGCAGTTCGAAAGCACCCCCAGGTGCAAGTAGATAAATAGGGACCGCTTACTAGCGGGAAGGTAAACGGCGTTTCCGTGTGCTGCGCTGGCTCGCCAGATGCAGCTTGTCACGCTGGCCACGTGACCCGGAAGTGTCTGCAGACAGCGCTGGCTCCCGGCCTATAGAGTGAGATGAGCGCACAACCCTAGAGTCTGTCAAGACTGGCCCGTACGGGCAGGGGGTACCTTCTACTTTTTAATAAAACAATTTGGCATCACAAGTTTATATGTGATATCATTTGAAATCCAATACCATCATTAGTGCAAAGCTTACTCATAATGCTACCATAGTTGAAGACTGGATACGAGTGAACTGGCTGAAACCTAAATCCAGACAAGATCAAAGTAATTATAGGTGGGGCTGTGACTGGTGGGGAAGGAGTTGCACCTTTTCACAGGGGAATCTGTTCCCTTCCCACTGTCATTGACTGCAACTCCCATCAGCCCCAAGATAGCATCGCCAGTGGTCAAGGATGATGGGAGTTGTAAGCTGAGCCACAGATTACTTAACACACACACACACACACAGATACTACACTTGATCTTAGCCAAAAGGCCGAGAAGCGAGCTGAGCACAAAAAAAAAAAAAAAAAAAGAAAAAAATTGGCAGAAGCTCTTTAACCTTCTTCCATCCCTTTCCACAAGTGGAACAAACAAATCCAACTCGAGTGCCATCAAAGAGACACGTAAAGTAGATACACCCATAAAAGAATCTAAATCAAGTTCTGAAGAATCAACACCGAGCTGGGACAAAGGAACTAATCCATCTGCAGTCATATCGCCCCAGAGTCCTCTCATGGCCAGCACAGAATCAGTAGACAGAGGTGAGCAGGCGACCCAAACTATTGAGGGGAACTACTCCTCCCAAGTTCGACAGATGCTGTGTCCCAAAAGAGAATGGAGTTTAGTCCTAATCCCACAAAAGCTTGTCTTTGCTAATTACACCCTAAACCGCCTAGATTTTATGCAGGGTTGGACCGTATAGACCACTTTTTGTCCATTATAAGTGGCATTTTACCGGGGGTAGTAAAAGCAACTGACATAGCCGCTATAGAGTATCTACATCAAGATGATTGCTCGGTACGAGCATTGATTACTTTTTTAGATCATAATCTGGCCAGTTTCATTTTTAGAGCTAAAAACCTATTCAAAAAAGAAAGAATAGTCCTATTAAGAATATTGAAAAATAGAGCACCCTGCAACCTCTCTGATAGGGGCCCAAGAGCATAGGAGTGGAAGTTCACAAAAAAGGGAAAAACCATCCACCAAAACCATCGAAATAGAAAGCATAAGCTCCAGCAGGATCATCCCCACCAAACAGCACCAAAATGAAAAAAAGGAAAGGCCTCACATCCACTGGCGTCGGGCCTCTCACGTGGGATAGTGAGGACTCCGTTTGGGAGGAAGAACTCTCGCTGATAAAGCGATTCTGGTCACTGCATTCTCCAGCTCAAACTGAGATCCTGAAAAGGACTTGATTTACTTCGAAGCAGACTAGAAAAAAAGGATGATCAAGGTGAGACAATGAAGGACCCTTAATGTGCAGCCCATATCTCCCAAATGTCTGGTGGATAAGAAGACAGTGGGAGGCACCTTTAAATGTGTAGACGTGGAATTAACAATCAGAGCCCCCTGTGATGTACAATAAAGTAAGACCAAAGCAAGGTGTGAACCTCAAAAGCTCCTGGCACAGCTATCTTAAATTGTCTCCGAATGAATTAGCTTCCCCCCCAAACTCCAAAATCTAGCCCCAAATCACCAAGAAAAAGAGGATCACTACACTCTCTCCAAGCAGCCAGCCTCGAAAAGAACAACGGGTGTTTTTTTTTAGACACCAAAGAATTGCTGGACATGGTGGTGACATAGATCCAGCTCCCCGAAGGGCCCGGGGCCTAAAAGTGCTGTCTTGGAATATCGCGGGTTGGCACGCCAAGAAAAATAATCAACAATTTTTGTGGTTACCTTAAGCAATTTGACATCATCTTCTTTCAGGAGACATGGCAGAAATGACCCTATATTTCTTAATGGGTATAACCTGCCACTACCTGCCTGCCTCTCCATCTCTAAGGGGCGGCAAGATTCTAGTGGTGGCCTAGCTTGCTTCATTTCCCACGGAGCTAGCGCATTCTCTAAACAGCCCTACCCAGCTGCAAATTCCTTAGCAACAGCCGCTCTACTTTAGCTTCAAGAGAACTACTCTCTTGCTGGTCAATGTCTATATTCCCCAGGCCAAAAAAACCCGTTTGTTAAGGCTACATGGGCTGAGCTAGAGGCGTTTTTAGAGCCTCTCGAATCTACTTACCCGTCTGCCCTGACTATTGTGGTGTGGAGACTTCAACGCTCGTATAGGAACAGATGACAACAGTCTATACATCATTTCACCAATTTATGGACCTGAAGAACAGACGGATATTGGCGCGACACGTCTGTCCAAAGATAGTAGAAGTATTTCCCAGGTCTCTGCTTAGTGCAGGCTGCTAGACGGAGGGAACTGCTGATATTAAACGGCAATATAGAGGGGGACCGCCCCCGGGGAATATACCCATTTCTCCAAGGCTGGGGAAGTGTTTATAGATTATATCTTAATCTCAAGATTTGCTCACAGCTTTATAAGGAAGTTCCAAGTGGGCCATAATACCTCTGAGTGATCACCTACCTCTAATTTAGAGCTTGCAGGTCGGCCTTTTGACTATTCTATTGCCGAGCCAAATATATACCTTCTGTAAATTTGGATATACCTGCCCCAAAAGACTCAAATGGTCCCATATTGAATGAAAACCTAACCCTCCTCTTCAGTCAGTGGAGTTAAAGCTTATTCGCTCCGTATTGTATCAGGAAATTCAGTAGCTGCGATTATGGAACGCTTTAAATTACTCTTGGAAAGATTGAAACCCCATTTAACAAACAGTGATACAATAGCTCCGCTACAAAAGAGGGCAAAGGACGGAGCTAGCTGGTTTGACCTGGAGTGCAGGCAAACAAGGAGACAAATGAGAACAGCCTACCGGAGATACAGGAAATCAGGGACTGCCCTCCTACTTAATGCTTATATTTATCTGAGACGGTCGTACAACACAATTATTAAGGAGAAAGAAACTGGAAGCTGAAAGAGCCGCATGGCACCAGGTTGGTTAAGGCATCGCACGAGAAAGATACTACTTGCTTTTGGCGAACCATATCTGGTCTACTGGACCAGGAGCGTACTAATTCCATCTGTACAGTGGAACCAATGGAGTGGTTGCGCCATTTTCAATCTTTGTTCTATGACCAGGAAGCCCAACATTACAAACTATGCATTCAACTGGAGGACCTACCTCATTGGCCAGCAGTAACTGCGAAGGAAGTTGAGAATTTAATCGCACAATTAAAGAACAACAAGGCCCCAGGGAATGATTACATCCCTGCCGAACTTCTGAAGTCCAACATTGGGCTGGTGGGCCCCCCTGCTGGCGTCTTTATTTTCTTGGATCGACTCAACGGGTTTACTC